AATTTAGAGAGGGTTGGGGGAATATGAATACATCAATCCACTGATCTTGGCTGGTCGTTGTTCCCCTTCTTTGGTAAGCATTGGCAATTTGGACGGCAAGCGGATCGTGTTAGGTTAGTATTGTCTGTAAAGTGCGTTGCAATAGTTGGTATCGTCTCTAAGTTGTGCTGTGTATTACTCCAATCAATACATAACCCACGTGAATTGTATATATTTTAATATGTCATGTAGAGTCGGATCCATGTCGATGATACATTAATTAAATATTACGTACAATGATGGATTACCCAACAAGAAGAGCGATGAAGGGTGGCCGAGGATAAGCGAGAGTACAAGAGAGATCTCTCTATTCTTAGGAGCCCACTTTCCACGTGGGTCTGAGCTGGATGTGCACACATGCACATGGTTTGAAACCCTTTTGGACATTTCTATTGAAAGTGAACTATGGTCTAGATTATCTTCAAAAAAAAAAAAAAAAAAATTATGGTCTAAACGACCAGTAACCAGGCACCATCATTTTTTTTTGTTCAACAATGAAGGATGTCTCGGTCAGATTACGCGTTTCTTAATTAATTTCTTCCTCAGTTCAGTCAAATGCATGTTATTCATGTCGAGACTAAGATATTCATGAAAGATAAATTTTTTATGATCTGAACCCATGAGGTTGTCAAAATTCAAACTCGGAGTGTCTAAATTTATAATTCTATCTCTATTATTACTTGAGCTACCTTTTGAATTAACTCGACACTATCATTGTCGAGTAGGAAACTTAAAGCAAAGTAAAAGAAACGTGAAATTCATAATCAATGATTGATACTCTTGACTATGTGAATTGTCCAATGATATAGTATCACTCGTTTTTACTAATAAAAAAATTAGACTGAAAAATTAAAGAAAATATTACACTATTACAAATATAATGTTGAAGTCAAAATTTTTGACTTGATTTCGACAATAGAAATTTAACGAATTTAAGTTTGTGAGAGATTCTAAGTCTAAGAGATGAATACATAGAGTTTATGAGAATAAATATATATTATAGAGTTTTTTATGAACAAAATTTTAAAAAAATTATAAAATATTAGAAAAATGGAAACTATTAGATGAAGAATAAAGAGATAGAAATAAAGAAATGAGTTGCCGACCAACGGAGAATAAGGATTCGTTTGTTATGGTGCTTCCTCAAGGATGCAATAAAGTAAAAATGCAAGATCTTTTATATCTGAAAAAGTTGCCAAACAATTAATATTTAAATATTTTAATTTTTTTAATCCTTCTTTATAACGTTAAAGAATCAAAATTTGAGGTCACAAACTTGATTCTATATGGTAAAAGTATTTACATTTTTTTTTATTTTTAGCATTTAAAATAAGAAATTATATTTTACTATATAACTTCTTTAAAAATATTTTTTATTTTACTAATGTAGCGCATTTAGGACATAATTAATCTTATTTGTGTATTTAGTATGGGGTAAAATTGAATTTTTACTAAAACTCATCCCTAATCCATGAATTTGATTTATAAATTCATGGATGCAATAAAATGAATTTGTGAATTTGGTTTAATTTAAATTCATGAATTCAGTAGAATTGAATTTGTGAATTTGAAAAATTAAAAACGTAAATTCAAAGCAATTTGCTCCTAAAAAGTGAATTCACATGCGAATCAATAGAGCATAAGTTATTATGGACGAATTATGTGACCTAACTAATAGCCATGATATGGTACAATATAGTTATGCCATTGATCCTAGAATTTTTGTGTTTGATGTGGAGCAAAATTTATCCACCGATCCAAATTTAACGACTGATTGATTGCACCCTAATAATAAAAGATGCGAGGTTGATGCGTGTGACAAGATCTAACAGTTATAATTAAGTAACTAAAGGTCCAAGAGAGATAAGACACTTAAGAAAAAATAATTTCTATAATTTTCAGATAATAGAAAGATGTGACATCATGACTCGACATTTACAGATGGCTCGACGCACAAAAGTAGAGACCATGATCATTGATTTCTTGGCCGAAAGGACGATTCCAGCAATTAAGAGTCACCGTCTATAAATACAAAGACACGTATTACAAAAGAGAGATCTCTCGATCACTCACCCACACAAAACAATATACTAGAACTTTCATCCGCACTGTTTATCTTAGTTTATTTGTTTTTGCACTATAATAGTCACCCCACTGATCTCTTTTTCCATCTTATTTCAAATGCGGTAGTTTGTACAATAAATTCCTCTTTGTCGTTTATATTATTGTATTTTTTTTTTCAAATTACTTTAAATTCCAAGTTCGTTAGCTCGGTATTAAGAAAATTATTTAAATCTTTGATCTCCAAGATAAAGAACATAATCTAAATATAGTCTTACGTTTTGTTACAATTGTTTGAATAATCATAATTTTAAAAATTCATGCCAAATTAAATAGGTAAGGTCATAAGAGCATCCTCCAAATGGAGATGTCAATGGTTAAAGTTGAAGGTTTATGTGGCATTTGAACAGTTGGAATTTGATATCTTCAAGTCATCAGTACTCCTTGACCAAAAAAAAAAAAAAATCATTAGTACTCCGACCAATATATTAAAATAATTTATTTTATTACATTTTTATCTTGAAATCTATCTTCTTATATTAATTTAATATATATTTTTAAAATATTTTTTAGTATCAATTAAAATAAATATTATTAAAAAAAATAATTTTTAAAAGTATTATAAATTTTATATGAAAAGTAGTACATATTTAATTGAAATTAAAATTCTCATTAAACTTAGCTAATACAAATTTAAATGATAATTAAAAGTTCAATTCTAAAACATAAACTTAAACAAAATTATATAGCTACAACTTTTGATCAATAAAATAATGATTAATAAGAGAATTTGATACACAAAAATTAATGTGCCAAATTTAGTATAATGTCAAATTCAATTTTACCAACTAGACATTTCACATATTGATTGGAGAGCAGCATTTGAAATGTCAATTAGAGTTGTCCTACGTATTTCGAATCTAAATTTGATCCTTCTGTAATCTAAAACACACTGAACACTTAACAATCAAATAAGAGATGAGAGGGCTTGAGAAGTATTCCCTTCTCGTTTCTTAATTTTTTAGAATTTAAATTTTTTTTAATTTAAAATAATAGACTCTCTCCAATCGGACGCTGACATGTGTCGTTGATAAATTACCCACTAATCGTCAATAACTAATTACTATTTTTTAAAATTTAAAATTTATTCAAAAAAGTCGCTTTTCATCTATGTATCCAATACATCTCACTTCTATTAGTTATAACCGCCAAATCTGAGATCAATTTGAAAATCCACGGAACAGGGACAGTTGGGTCGGTTATAGGTCATTCTTGTGCCGTCCTTCGCATGGCGGTTCTGTTGGCCCCCGCAAATCTTCACACAATTGAACACATACACATATATCCACACAAAAAGACACACAAACCCATACAATTCTTAGCGATTCTCTTGGATGGTANAAATTTATTCAAAAAAGTCGCTTTTCATCTATGTATCCAATACATCTCACTTCTATTAGTTATAACCGCCAAATCTGAGATCAATTTGAAAATCCACGGAACAGGGACAGTTGGGTCGGTTATAGGTCATTCTTGTGCCGTCCTTCGCATGGCGGTTCTGTTGGCCCCCGCAAATCTTCACACAATTGAACACATACACATATATCCACACAAAAAGACACACAAACCCATACAATTCTTAGCGATTCTCTTGGATGGTATTGTAGGAACGGTCGTGTTTTGCGTGTCCAAGAAATTCAAATTCTTGGGATTTTTCGGTTTCTTCTTTTTTTTTTCTTCCTTCCAATCAGTTCCAATCTCTCTCCCTCTGTGTTGGTTGTGCGTATGTGTAGTCGAATCGAAGTCTATCAATGCCCAATGACTCTTTAACGCAATTAATCATTCTTTTGCAGTTTAATGCTTGGATCACTTCGCATTCGTCGCTTCTGTCGATGCCTGGTCTTTGTAGGTAATTTTCTTTTGATTCCTTGTCTCTTTGTTGCGATTTGTGATGCGAGTGGACCGTTTTGTTTGTTTATTTAGGAGTTTATGAACAGTTTTGTTTGTATCTTCTGTTGATTAAACGATGCTAGAGTGTGATTTTCTTTTGTTATTGATTATCTGAATTTCGTAATTTATAAGGCAAGAAAAGTTTAAAATTTTAATTTGATTGACTACTATGTATGCTCTGAGAAAATATTCAATGCAACAGTAATAATATGTCAGCATTGATAACATAGTGTTACCAACTAATAATAAAACCTCAAATGGACAAAGTGAACCCAACTTAGATAATTATTGGTTTACATGGAAGAAGAGAATTATTGGTTTACATGGAAGAAGAGTGGGGTCCGTTTTTCTATTTGTTCGCACATTATTGGTTGGTGATACCATGTCATCAATGCCGGCGTGGTATCACCGTTCCAATGAATATTTTTTCGAATGTTACACCATACATTACTTAGATGGGTCTCGTGTATTTTTTTAATCCCTAACACTGGATCCCTTCTGTATTTGTCATGTTTGCTAAATATGAGCAAGGAGACAAACTCTGTATATTAAACCATATATTAGTTTTTAAATCCTCGCACTCGTACTTTTTAAATACTTGCGATGGATTATATGAGCTTTCTATATTTGTCATGGTTGCTAAATATGAATGAGATGCCTCAAACCCGAGTTCATTTTTACTTGTTTTAAGGTTATTTATCCTGTGGATATATGTGTCAGAAATTGTTGGCTCTATGATTGTCTATGTTTAGAGTTTTGTGCAAAAGTATTAAACTGAAACATTCATGGACTTGTTATTTTTTTGCAGCTCCAGGAGCCTTATCAAGAGCAACCACCTTCATATTGCTATATTCGTCTTCTTAAATTTTATTTGAATTTTCAGTATGATGTCCTTTAATGTTATTTTTGGTTTATGAGACACTAGAATGGTGCAGATATAGTGGACGGAGATGAACATCTCTGCTCTTCTGACTTCTGCTGGTATCAATATTACCCTGTCTGTGGCGCTTTTGTGGTTGTATTCCATTTTAAGAAAACAACCAAGCCTTGCAAATGTGTACTTCGGGCATAGGCTTGCTCAGGTACGATCAAAACACCACAATCCTTTTTGCCTTGACAGCCTTGTTCCTTCTGCTAATTGGATAGTGAAGGTCTGGGAAACATCTGACGAAGAGATATTTGCTACTGGCGGGTTGGATGCAGTGGTTTTTCTCAGGATGGTTGTTTTCAGGTGATGACTTCCCTTAAACTTGTAGATGCTGAAAGTTAATATCTGTTTGCCTTATATTATACTTGGTCATATGTGTGATGCATCTAACAACTAGCCATCGGTAAATAGGTGGCTTGTAGTTGTCGATCATTTGGTGTGATATTTATTGGAAATTGTGTGAGATAAGGATTATGATCTGTTGGCAAAGGACCGTAATCTTTGGTCCCCCTGGCCAATTATTAGCTTATTATCTAATTTTTTAATCTACCGTTATGCCATTTTTTGTGACACATATTATTTGTTTGTGGTGTGTATAATTCTTTGAGTGACTGACTTCTTTTTCCGATATACATAACTTGGGCTGTACATTTGAATTTCACCTTAATTTTGAAAAATATTGTGAAGAGTTTCTGACTTTCTGTTGTTTGTGTTATTTGGGCAATACATGTGAACTACACCTTTATTGTCTAAAATCGTGTGCAGACATTCTATTTACAAGAAAAAAAAAAGTTTTTGAAGAGTTCCAAATTTTCTGTCATTTGCTTTATTTTGATTTGTTATGACCTCTTAACTCTTTGATATCTTCCATGTTGGATAGTTTTTCACAGATTATAGTTGTAAACATGTTTGTAGTCTAACACTATGGTCAGTATAGTTTACCCTGATTGCATAGAGGACCATGTTTTCTTATATGTAAACCATGACAATGGCTACTACGTAGTAAGTAGGAACATGTTGTACAGCATCTTTGCAAGCAGAGACCTATATAGCTTTTTTCTCAAGTTTTATCTTTTGGTGGACATTACATTATTATGTGATACCTTTTTTTTAGAATGTCTTCTGTAGAAAGATGGTGCACTAGAAATCGTCGTAGGGAATGCTGTATTTCCTGAATATTTTTTTTAAAGTTATCTGAAAATCCTGTAATATACGTGGTCATGTTAAACTAAGTCTATCTACGCAATGACTTTTTGCTGTTTTGCCCGATTTTCTCAATAATTTGGCCAGTAACCAGCCAATAAGATCCAACCCCCTGCTTTTCTACACGGAAAAAACAGAAGAGAAGAAGGATGTAGTCTTTAGACTAGTAAATATTCTACTGTCGGTTTTCATATTATAACTTTTGACTGTGTTTCTTAGACATGACCACGTGGAAGATAGTCTTTTTTTTGCCTTGTTTCATTGTTTCATTCTTTTTCCCTTTTCACTATTTGCAGAACATACAAATTTTGCATTTTCCCTCAATGAAATTGCAGTGATTTCAGTTATTTGCATTATTGAAGCCAATATAGCATTTTGGTCTATTGATTGCTCTTGTCCACCTTCATCCTCTTTATGTAGATTAGAATCGGTTTTCACTATACTTACCCTCAGCACTGTATTATTGCTATACAGTACTCGGATCTTCTCCATTGCTGCTATCATGTGCTTATTTCTTGTGCTTCCCCTGAATTATTTTGGGCAAGAGATGCAGCACAAGCAAATCCCTTCGGAGTCACTGGATGTATTCACCATTGGGAACATCAAATTACGATCAAGATGGTAAGAAACATGTATTTGTTTATTGATGACAATCTTTTCTAAGATCAGGATCTGGTTCAGTTATTATGAATATTTAGTTCTGATATGCTCAGATGTTTTGTTAAATGTATGTTTAGTCCTCAAAGCAAAATTGTTTCCTGTGACATGTTGAAATACTAACTGGAAAATAAGAACTGCTACCCTTATACCTCGAGAAAAAGGAATGCCACAAGTCTACATTTGCGTTGTACTTTTCCAACCAGGTTTTTTTTTTAATTCCTTTTTTCAAATACCATCCCCTTCTTTACCTCATTTGGCGAGTTTGGACAGGTAGGATAACTAATCTTTGCTCATCATTGGTTACCTTTCCTGAAGGAATAATATGGAGTGGGGTTGCATGTTGAGCGACCTTGGTCAATTTGTAATTGTAATGCCAGCCCCGGCAAGTTACAGGATTATACACTCGCTCTGGTTATGCATCAACTGGTTTCTTTGTCTTTCATATATTGATCTATCTTGTCTTCAATTGTATCTCACATTTCTTTGGCAGGCTATGGGCCCATTGTCTCGCACTATACGTTATATCCTGCTGTGCTTGCATTCTTCTTTACTATGTAAGGACGTACAACCTGTATCCCTTTCTAATCTTATATGGTGCTAGTGTTTATAAAGGTGGCACGGTCTATTTTATTTATTTTAGAACTGTTACCATGTGCCTCCAGGAGTACAAAAGCATCACAAAGATGAGGATGGCATATGTTATGGGCTCTCGTTTGAATCCAAGTCAGTTTACAGTTCTTGTTCGTGCAATCCCATGGTCTTCAAGAGAATCATACAGCACTTCTGTCAGAAAATTCTTTGCAAATTACTATGCATCTAGTTTTTTGTCGCACCAAATGGTTTATCGCTCTGATACAGTCCAGAAACTGATGGTGAGCGTCCGCCGTAGATAAATTTCCTGCTGGTAAAAGTAGCATCGTGACTGTTTATTTTTTCCCTATGTTATTCTGTTTTGGCTTGGCTTGTTGCACTGTAATTATTTGCATTATGCTGTTAGATCTTCATTTGTGATATGTCGAATATTGTGGTGGTTAGGTTGTCGTCCACATTTAATTATTTAGAAAAATATATTCTAGATCCCTTTTAGGTTAAAGGAGCTTTTTTTGGAAGTAGATATGATGTCATGCTTCATCATCCTGGGCAGGTGTTTGAGTTCCTGAGGTGATTGAATGGTGTAGATCGTTATTGATGGGAGCATTTTCCTATAAGTTGATGATTCCACATTCTTCTGACCTAGCCTTCTGTTGATTTGGTTATGTTTTAACCAACTGGATTTGTTTGGGGTGTAGTGTTGATGTTGAAGAAAGTGCACATTTTCTGTAAAGAAAATTTATGCAATACCCAACATTACCTGAAATTTAATTTATTCTCCATTGATTTTGCTCTCTTGAAGTTGAGACTGCATTTAAGTCTATCTCAGTACAGACTGCTTGCAGTTAACTGATGCTGCTTTTTGATATGCAGCACTAAATTGATGCATTCACTTAGCACTGAATTCTGATGATATTCTTAACTTCTTTTTACTTGAATATAAATCTGATTGTTTAAAATCAATTTGTGCTTGCACAATTAACCTGGTCTTTGGTTTTTTGAGGGGTTTTCAGGATGTTTGAATGATGTTCAGCCTTAACAATAATCCCTGATATGTATGATCATGAGAAATATTGTTGCTTTTACTTGGATTGTTGCAACTTTATGATTGAAAGGCTATGGATAATATCCAATTGCCTGTTCGTGAAGACATTTCTTGCAGTCAAAAGTATTTCACAATGGCCACTAGGGTCATATCAGGATTCTGTCATTGCTGTCCTCCAGTTCATAAAGCAAAATCCATTCAGTATGTTTTAATTGCATTTGATAGAGAAGAAAACACGCAGTTGAAGGAAATAAGTAGTGTAGTTTTGTGGTGTACACTCTTAAGTAGAAAACCTAAAGAAACTCATTGGGGCTGCCTCTACCAAATCATTTTCTGATAATTAGTATATCTTCTATTTTGATTTGTCTATATAAATTAATAATCATCTGCAATGTGGGGCTCTCTTACGGGGAGAAGCTCATATTCTTCATGCAGTAACTTATTCAAATCAGGTTGTAGCTGTTCTATACCAATTGTATATCAGAAGACAATAATGCTATTTACCATGTCGAGTAGGCTTATCACTTAAGACATGATGTGCAAATGGAAGCTAAATAAAATCTATTAAATGATCACATCTAGGGCTTGCAATGTGTTTCTAAATTTACCAAGCTACCTGTGCTCAATAAGAGTTTGGGTTAAACTCTCCTATAGACAAGGTTAGTTTTGTGCTAGCTGATTCCATCTTCACTAATGAGTTCCTTATGGGTTGTCTGCGAACCTGTTTGGTGCTCATTATCTAATTTAGTATGGCTACAACCTGATGCTACTCAACCTGTAGTTAAGCACCATAAAATCTTCATATATGGTTTAACTTCAGAACCTTTTCCTTCTTGAGTACTTTCATGAATTGGGGCCTTCATAAAGTTATGTATTACAAGAGTGGCAATAAGTTTGAGGACAGAATTTTCTTACTCGTATCACTATTAACAATTGATTGCTCTCTAAATTCATGTTATTAAAAGGGACTAATAAGATATTTTAGTAGCTTGAACCAACCAAACCTGCAAACTTCTTTACTTTTTGGGTCAGATGTATGGTTGTTTTAACGGTTGCTATTCTTAGAAATTAAACAGCATGCCCATACACCAAATTTTAATGTCGACAAAAGTCGAAGGATTTAGTAAGAGACCACTTTCTGGCATAGGGAATTCTCTGTAAATTAGATTTTTTATCTCTGTTCCTTCTACTTAGCTGTGGCATGATGTGAATGCACATCTTTTTTCTTCTTAACCGTTGTTGGATCTGTATTTTTCTGGAATATTTCATGAGTTGTCACTAAGTGGGAGAAGAATTACAAAGTGATGGTGATGAATGCCATCCAGTTGGTTTGTCTAGGGAGTGATTTTTATAAAGAACCTTAAAGAGTGACATGGATAAGGAACTTAGAATTGGCTATGTACCTTAAGATGTGAACTAGGTTGCTTTCTTTATTCACTCATCTATTAACCAGATTATTATGCACGAGGTTATGGCAACTTTGCTGCTATGGTGTAATGTATTCTGCATTAGAAATGATGTTTCAAAAGCTGTGCATGATGAAAGTTTGAATAAATTGAGTCCGCTAAAAGACCAAGCCACATTTATTTATCTAATCTGTTACTATTAATTAAGCAAGACTACTACTCACGTGCCTATCTGTGAAGAACCACTCACATTTGCCATCCACTCTGTACCAAACCCCAGTCTCAACAACTGCATCCCTCTGTTATGCTCTTCCACCTGTGAGTGTCACTCTGAAGCTTTCAGACTTTCATCTCTCTCCTTTCAACCTGTCAGACTTGGCTCTCTCTCTCTCTTTCTCCTTCGCAGATAGGTGAGTCTCCATGTAGTGAACCTGTATTTTTAGTGTCTCTCTCCCATGTGAACATGCTTTCTCTTCTAAGCTTTTTCACACTTTACCATGCTTATTGAAGCTTCACACATTCAGTTTCATAGTCTGCTGGAGATTGTTATCATGGAGTTCCATAGTCTGCTGGGCTTTTATGGATTAGTAGAATTATTTATTGCTTGCACTTTTTCACCTATGCCGCATGCTCATAGCTTGCTGTGATACATCTCTTCTATTACTTCTCATTAATCACCATATTGTTATATTCATAATTTTTTGGTATTGTGTGAATATATAATTAGTAGCCAAAATATTTTACACAAATTGCGTTGTATATGTTTGCAGACACATTTCATGTCCCATTAACATTAAAGCTAGTAAACTTAATTTCAGGGAAGAAAGAAAGAAAGGCTAGCATGAGAGCGACCTCTTGAATGTTTGATGGAATGAAGCAAGAAAGACATATGTTTCTGCGATGTTTATGGACTTAAACCATATGTAACTTTGGATAGAAATACTTAAACACTTCGCGGACAGATATATGTTTGTCTAATAGATATACGTTCGTAAATTGTCATGTCCAAGTATTGTGGTGGTTACTAAGATTCTTTTAGCTTCATCAGAGGTTAGGAATTTTTCTTTTCTAAAATGTGCACCTAAAAGGGCCATCCTTGCAAGTGGTCATGCCATCGTACTATAGTAACTTCATGTCTTGGATAAAACCGTTTATCGAATCCAGATGAAAATCCTCCTTTGAAAATTCCAAACTACATTCTTCAGTGGTTTGACCATCGGCCCATTATCTAAGATTTTCAAATTTTTCCTGTCGTTTATATTGTCATGCCTTCTCCTGTTATGTTTTTTTCTTTTCCGAGAATCTTTGCTCCATTGTTGTTTGACCTTGTCTGCTTGCAGAGTGATGCAGAGAAGATATACAAGATGCTTAAGTCTAATCCTATGGATCAGCACTGTGGATTAAGTTTCATGAGATGCGGCCTTTGTGGAGGAACTGCAAAAGCTTTTAAGATCCTTTCTAGCGAACCAGAAAGTGCAAATGGAAGACGTGAATTTGCCAATCCAGATTTGAGAGAAAAGGTTTTCAATTTCATGTACTTACTATATCTGTATTTTGCTTTAGGATCATCTATCATTCTTATGCAGCTCAGTCATGTTGATATGTGATATGCATTGAGTGTGACACATGTATTGCATATGGTCCTAGGTCTCCAGGGGGCGTTCCGCATCATTAGAGTAGTTTTGCCTTGGTAGTTGTAGTTGTTGCTAAAAGATTCCCCAATTTTGCAACCAACTTTTCCTTTGACCCTTCTGCTCCTTTCAAAAAAAAAAAAGAAAAACTCTTTTTCTTCATATAATGTTAAAAGGAAAGGATTGATCTGTTGTCCATTACCATTTGTGCTGAAAAGATGAATGCCTTAAGGCATCAATATAGGTCCTTGATAACCTATTTACTTGTTTAGACATCTCTATCAGAATGAAAAAAGCAGTAGAATGCAATTTGCTTCAGAGATTGGTATCTTATAAAACTTTTGGAAAAGGTGCTCACTCCACTTGGTCTTTTAGGGTTGTGGAGAAATTTGATAAGCAAGTGAGATGATCAATTCAATACACGTGACAACCAGAAACAAAAACAGTAGCCATGCTTTGGCAACTTACATTGTTAGGCAATCCAGCAAAGGTTTATTCTCTAAGCGTAGTGGAATAAATCACAAGTAGAGATGTTCCTCTTTTAAAAGTGTGTTCACCATAACTACCTCAACCCCAGCAAATATTCCATTTTCACAGTGCACTTGTAAACACAATCATGGAAGCACATACATTCTTTGACTAGTTTAAAAAATAGGNAATCACAAGTAGAGATGTTCCTCTTTTAAAAGTGTGTTCACCATAACTACCTCAACTCCAGCAAATATTCCATTTTCACAGTGCACTTGTAAACACAATCGTGGAAGCACATACATTCTCTGACTAGTTTAAAAAATAAGCCCACTAAACTATAGTACATATTCAGTTGACAACAATAATAGTCTACAAGCATTTAAGTCAAAAGCTTTATTTAATTGTGCGCCCTTTGCAAAGGGAAAATGCTGAATCAAGAATAGGAAACATGGTGATTTTATAACACAATGTCAACAGGTTGTGTTTGGCTACATGGTTATTTTCTGGGCAGAGATGGCAGCTCAGCTTTGTGGCTTGTTGTGGCACTTCTTATGCTTTGTTTCATTTTAGAGCACAACTTTGGATTTTTTATTATTTATCTATCATATTTCTGGGAATGTGGATGCAAACTCAGCTTTCAGCTTTGTTGTTAGCCCCGGCGCTTCCTACACTTGCNTGGTTATTTTCTGGGCAGAGATGGCAGCTCAGCTTTGTGGCTTGTTGTGGCACTTCTTATGCTTTGTTTCATTTTAGAGCACAACTTTGGATTTTTTATTATTTATCTATCATATTTCTGGGAATATGGATGCAAACTCAGCTTTCAGCTTCGTTGTTTGCCATGGCGCTTTCTACACTTTCTTTTGTATTCTTCCTTTATTTCATTTTGGAGCCCCCATTTTAATATCTTATCCCTCTCTTACTGATGAAACTATTCTAAAGTTAAAATGGCTAAACATAAAGAAGGCAACAACAGAGTGGTTGTTGCCTTGTTGGATATGCTTGTATGGGTAAATTACTGTTTTACCTGTGAGTCATGATTCTACTCAGTTATATCCTGACTTTCATGCAGATTGGTCTTGACTATCTTGATTACTTATGGTATACTGAAGTCTGCCATTACATGTGTATGGATCAACCACAAATTTTGAATGCGAGTATCTGGTCCTTCATGGTTCAGTCATGTTATAATTGTTTCATTGTTTCTTGTTTTAATCAATGCTTTATGGGCTCAGAGTATTTTTAGCTGAAAATATAGTGTGACATATGGTAATATACTTTTTTCTATCTTTTATTTTAATTCTTATCATTACTATCTGTGATTTTATTATTACTTCTTATGTGTGTGTGTGCGTCAATAAGCCGTTGTAGGTTAAACCTTCTCATGAGATTGATTACTTCCAAAAAAATTGGTGCAATCACAATATAGTATAAAGCATTTGATAGTAATGCAATTTTTCATGCAGGAGTGCGCTGCTGCATTAATTTTCTTCAGGACTCGCTATGCTGCCTTGGTTGCTTCACAGGCCATGCAATCATCAAATCCCATGTTATGGGTTACAGACCTAGCTCCAGAACCAAATGATATCCAATGGACAAACCTTTGTGTGCCATATAGGTTGCTTTGGATCCGTAGAACCACAACTCTTCTGTCATCTATTCTTTTCATGGTTTTTTTTCTTGCACCCGTGACAATCGTACAAAGTATTGCTCACCTCGATAAACTACAGAAGATATTTCCATTTTTAAGAGGAATTTCAGAGAGGTATTGTTACTGTCTATCTCCGTGACTGCAATTTGATGCACCTCTTGTTTTTAGAGTTCTGCACATTACAGAAAATTAAACTTGGTATGTTAAGTTGGTTTTCTACATGGATTAAAGTGTTAGTTAAATAAATTTTATAAATCGACATCTGGAAAATTCTGTGCTAAGAAGTGCATTATATGTGTTTCAGATTAATTTCTGGAGATATCATTTAAATATTAACAAAAAATATAGCCTAAAATGTTGAATCATAGTCTAAAGGTTAGCAGCACAAATTCATGCCATAGCATCAAATTGTTCAATTTCTTGAATGTGATTTACAAATGACAGGAGAGATATCTGAGTATAGATTTGAGATTCTTTCTTTTGTGCACGAATATAGAAATGTAGAAAGAGCTAGATCATCCATATAATTGCTAACCTGTTTGTTGTCCCCGGGATGCTTTTTTTGTTTTTGTTTGTGTAGTTGCAAGTTTAGTGCATGTGTATAACTCTGCAGTTTGTCCAGACCACATAAATGCTCAATTATGTTTGTGACGGACAGATACATTCTTTGCTGGGTCATTTTAGTTTAAATATTAAATATAACTATAAAATGATGGTACCTGTCCCAATTCTTTCAATTTTTCATTTATGTCATTCTCAATTGTTGATCTTATTCAGATTTTTCAGGTTTACTATTACGTAGAAGGCTTCTACTTTTGCTAGAGCAACACTGACTGCGTTCGCTACAAAATATAAGAACTTCACTTTGTGTATTGCAGTTGCAGCTTCCATTGATGCTCTAGCAATAGAGACACCCTATGAGGATAGAAGTATAAGCAAGTGAAGTTAGCATCATACTAGTTAGACCATGAGCAGAATTGTTGAACTATTACAATATTACTACCAACACATTTTTTCCATTAACTTCTGGTTGTTTTTCTCTTATAGTTAGGAGGGTCCCTTTGGGCTAAAAACTTCCTTAAGCCATTGAATCCCATTTTAGTTGTATAGGCTCAAGCAACAGCTTTTCAGCAGCAAGAGGAGGTTTTCTGCCTGATCCTGAGTGCTGGCAGGATCAACATCATGAACTTTTATGTTAGGGTATGAAAGTGATAAAGTGAAGTGAAAGAAAAGAAAATGAAAGAAAATATATTTTCATGCATCTATTTGGTTAGCATGGAAAAACGTACAAGAAAATTTAAAAAAAAAATTATTCTATTGTTTGGAAGAAAGCAAAGTTACAAGAAATTTTTTTTCAATTGTCTAAATTACCCTTAATTATATTAAATCAGTTTAAAGAAGGAAAAATATGTATTATAATTAAAAGTTAATTTTTTTTTAAAAAAAAAGTGGCTTTTAACTTAATTATGGGGCTAGAATCAGTTTGAACCCAATTATGCAGGCCAGATTATATGGTTAATCTAACTCATACCAAGTTTTTTCAAAATTAATAAGCAATTGAATATTATAAGAAAAATAAGGGTAAAATCGAAAATTAAATTATAGTTCAAAACTTTCTTGATTTTCTTTGAGTATTTAATAAGAAAAAAAAGTCGGAAGAAAAAAAAAATAAGAAAAAAAAAAATTAGTTAGTTGTGAGAAAATCTAAATATGGGAGAAAATTATTTTTTTCATCAATTTCCATTTCATGCTAACCAAACACATGAAAACTTTAAAAAATTTCTCTTTCTTGTATTTTTTACCATCATCCCACTAAACAAATGGACCCTTAGGGAAAATAGCATGAAGTATGGGTACTTTTTATTTTTATTTTTTTTGTGGACTTGAACTAGACACAATATCTTTGCGGATATATAATTATAAAGAAAGACAACAAGGGATTGCAACTTATCTTTCTTCACTTGCATGCAGGAAGATTTTGATCCAGCTGGTTACAGGGTATCTACCAAGTGTGATATTGATGCTATTTCTGTACATTGTTCCACCATTAATGATGCTATTTTCAGCATTGGAGGGCTCCATATCTCGCAGTGGCAGGAAAAAGAGTGCATGCATCAAAGTCTTATACTTCTTAATTTGGAATGTTTTCTTTGCTCAGATTTTTACAGGGACTGCTATTGAGCGTTTGGGAAAAATTTCTAGCGCAAAAAGCATACCTAATCAACTTTCTAGAGCTGTACCATCCGCGGTATTTCTTTTGTAGATATATATAAATATTTTTTTCTTGATGTAGGTGGTAATCCTATTTGGGTCCTGTGTTCGTATCTCAGATTTATACCTTCCCAGCCATGAGCCAACCGTTTTCCTTTGTCAGAATTTTTATCTTCCTATGTTTTCAATATCCAATGAATATTGGAGCACTTTTATGGATTTAATCATCCATTAACGGAATTGTATTGCTCAATGTCAATGTTGAGCAGTATTTTTCAGTCATAGATCAAGGTTTGCCACAATAGTGCTCATTAGTAAATTAAATGCTCCTCATAGGTCTTATATATTGAGTCCTTTCTTCAGCTGGGATACATTCAAATGAGACAAAAAAAATTGTGGTCCCTTATTCAATTTAAGCAAACGTAAAGTTTTTAATATTTTTTTTAGTAATGTATGTGGGTTTGCATTGTTGCAGGCTACCTTCTTTATGACTTATGTTTTGACTTCTGGCTGGGCGAGTTTGTCATGTGAACTCATGCAACCTTTTGCTCTTCTGTGCAACTTATTTGATAGATTCTTTATCAGAAACAAGGATGATCCATCTTATGGCTCTTATTCTTTTCCATACCACACAGAAGTTCCAAGGGTCCTCCTTTTTGTCCTTCTGGGATTCACCTTCTCTATATTGGCACCTTTAATATTGCCCTTCTTGCTGGTTTATTTTTTCCTTGCCTATCTCGTCTACCGTAATCAGGTGAGCATTTCGTTACAAATTGTGCAAATATTCCAGGATAATTAGGTCTGTTCCCAGTTTACCCATTCCATCACCCTTGATAACGAGGACCAAACAGGATAATGATATTTTTCCAAATGACGGAACCTATTTACATAGCTTGTTAGGAATTTTTAAGTCAAGTTGATGCATTTTCGCCATGCATATATATATTACTGGTTTTTCTTTTTTCTTTTTTGGGGGCTGGGAGGGAGGGGAAGATTGAAGAATTTAATGTGAGTTTTTGATACTAAGCTGCAAATGCACCTTTCAGATTCTCAATGTATATATTACTAAATATCAAACTGGAGGACTGTATTGGCCTATTGTGCATAAGACAACAATCTTCTCTTTGGTAATGACCCAATTAATTGCTCTGGGAATCTTTGGATTGAAAGAATCCACAGTTGCGTTGGGTTTCACCATTCCACTGATTATTTCAACACTCCTTTTCAACGAGTACTGCAGGCAGAGGTTTCAACCAATATTTAGGAGCAACCCTGCACAAGTAACTACTGGAAATTGATTTGTCTTTTCCCTTCCTTTATTTTGTTCTCCAATTTTGATTTGTGGGTTTGCTCACAGGTTCTTATTGAGATGGATAGGACAGATGAGCAGTGCAGAAGGATGGAAGAAATTCATCAGCAATTGCGTTCTGCCTATTGCCAGTTCACATCTACTTCCTGTAAACCATATGAAGCTGTGGATTTGAATGCCAATGAAAATCGAGATGATGACAGGCTCCAAGACCCCGAAGACATGGCACTAGGTTTGACTTGACCAATTTCAACGAAAGACTTTTTTTTTAATTGGAATCAAAGCAATATTTTATTGGCTGTCTAACTTGCCACTTTGCAGGAGACAAATCTCGGGCACATGGAACGCAGGTTGAATTCTCGCATTTGGGAATTGAAGAAGTAAATATGAAGTAGATTGAGCTGTATTCTGATGCGCACAATTCATCGATTACAAATACACGATATGACCATAATTGCGAAGGTGCTTGCTAGATGAAACTGCTTGGAACAAAGAACGTATGTAGAGATACTTTCGAAGTCTTCACAGAAGCAGCGTGGGTGACTGTTGACAGTAATCAAGGAAAGGCGGACAATGAAGCTTTCTTTTTTCCCCCTTTTCTTCATTTTCTCTCTCTCTCTCTCTCTCTTGTAGTTGTAGAAGAAATAAATTCATCAGCCCCCAGTCCCATTATTCTTGAATATTTGTTCTGGCTGGTATGCTCAGTCCACAGATTCAGTGAGCTTAATAGAGCCTGCATTTTAGGGAAGTCAAAAGTTGCAGATCATATTTTTTTGTTGTGCATAACACCATGAGAGTTGTGGAAATGTGATCACCAAATGTTGGCTATGCTTTTGAAAACATTATTTTAGCCCATTTGTAAAGCAGGTGGGAGCTGAAGAACTCGACGCCTTCGGGGTACTCCTCCCCTTATCCTTTTCTTGAAGAGGATATGAACTAGGTATCCCATTCTCTATCAGGTAAAGAAGAGAAGTAATGGGTGAGTTTTGAACTCTTCATCTTTAACTACAGGACTGTGCAACTGGAGCCTGTGCTTTAGAGCTCAGCTCATCTGATGTAAAAAATTCTTACTATGAGAAGGATATGATGCATTTGCTAAAGATAATTGGATTTAGTGTTGACAAATAGTTCGTGTGGTGTGGGGTTCTTGTCGATTTATTCATTTGATTGATTTAATGGATTTAAACATAGTTCTTTCATAATTCCTACATGGCAAAAAAATAGATTTAAGAACAACAATTCCTTCACATCTTTAGGGTCTTTCCTTTAAACATTACCAAGGCATATTGCTATAAATTTCCACAAAAAAAAAAATTCTATTAATCGAGCATAAATCAAGCAAGCTTCATAGACTTGCAAAATTCATAGAGACTTCAAACAACAAGATTCTATAAACTGACCTGATCTCTCCCATTAGTTTTAACAAAGAGAAAGGAAGTGTAGTCTTCCAAACTAGTATTTTTCACAAAGGTTAGCTAGTTAAATTTTGTTACATTAACGTCATATAATTCAGTTAACCTTTTAAAACATGTATTGTTTGGACTATGGGACAAGTCAAGATGGTTAAAAATTTCTCATACCTGAAAATTGTGACGATCCGTATAAAAATTAATTACTAATACATTAATTATGATTCTACATGGATCTCAAATATGAATTATTTACTTGAAAACAAATCCAATGACAAAGAGTTGAAATAAAAATGACATGTTAAATATCCAAAGTATTCTCATTATGCAAATTGTGTGAAAGTGTGCAGCGTATTGTTAAAAAAAATGTCGGTGTCAAGTTGGTAAGGGATAAGGTGACAAGTGTCACATTCGGAATGTAGTCATATATAGTCCTGTAATAAGTCTTTGCAAAAAAAAAAAAAGTAAGTGGACAAATCATGAACAAAAGTTCGTGATGATGCAAGAACTATGGCATCACCCAAGTGACATGGGAACAAATTTTGGCTATAAATAGCCATTCTAGGCAAACCATGGGAAAGGAAAGGAAAGGAAAGAGAGAGAGTGAGGGGGGAATGAAGCTTTGGGTTCAAAATTAAATAGTGATTTTAGTCTCAAGTCGTGTTAATTGCTCTCAAGACAGTGGCGATCAAATTTATCGGTATTAATTTGAGTTTTGAAGTACGAAGTAGTATACAATATGCTCCTGTCTCTAAATCTATTTGTAAATAGTATCATTTTGATCATCTAAAATTTGTATTACTATTGATTATTTTTTGTTGATACAAAATTTTGCAAGTTTTGTTGATTTGACTTATATTTTTGGCTAAATATTTTAGGATTGATTGGTACATATACAATATGAGCTTAGACATAATTTGTAAAATATGATTGTGGTCCTGTGAGGTGTGATTGTTTGGTTTGGTTGTGGCTTTATGAGTGTGATTAATTAGCATGAGTATTGATTTATATGTCAAAGTGCCATGATATATTTGATAGCAGTTAAGTTATGTGATCTATCAAATATAATTATTGATTTTGTTGTTTATGATTGACTATCGATTAATATTTGATAGCAGTTGAGTTATGTGATCTATCAAATATAATTCTTGATTTTGTTGTTTATTTGATCGTTCATTTTTTATTTATTTATCGTTGAGCATATTGTTTCACAATGTATTATACTTTCCCTTTTTAATATTTTTCAGGATGATCTGAAAGAAAATGACTACAGTTGATATTTTGAGGAATCGGAAATTGACAAATATTAATATAATATTTATAAAATTGAAATTACAAGTTTTATTAGTCTTTGGATATCAAATTTGTAATTATAATTTTTATTGAAGTAATTAAAACTCTGACTCTATATTTGGAGATATATTTTAGTCAATTAATTAATTAACGCATTCCAAAAGTCGGGGCATTACAAAGTGGTATCAGAGTATAGATAGCAGATCTTATATGAATCACGTGAAAAGTGAGTATCAATTTTTGTTGCAAGTAAAAATGTTTGAAGTATCAGAGCATAGGTTTCAGATATAATGTGAGATACTGTAGGAAGTGAGTTAACTAATTTTTGTTAAACCGGTGTATAAGTTGGAATTAGTCTTATAATTTTGATCTATATAGTAAATTATTAAAAATGGTATCAAAATGTTGAGTGTTTTATTAGTTTTATCAAAGTGTTGAATTTTTATAGGGTTAATAGCATTTTTGATTCCTAAATTATGCGTGTTTTATCAATTTGATCCTCATTGTATCATGTTTTTTAATTTGGTCCCTAAAATATTTAATTCATATTTAAATGGTTCCCATATAGTTGACTCGTTAAATTTTTTAATGAAAATAATTATATGTTAGTCACGTGATATTATCTAAAAAAATAAGACGTAATCACTCATATCAAAAAATTTAACGGACTGTCTGATTATGGACCATTTAAATACGAATTGAATATTGAAAAAATTTCATCTACACCCTCTCTAAATAGGTCTATCTTCAACGACATCTTCTACCTTTCTGAAATTTCACTGTACTTCTTTCTAGTTATATGTCATCTTCATCTAGACCCTCTATCGTAACCACTTGTTACTGATCATCAGAAAAGTGATCAGAAAAGTACTCATGTCATACCAAAATTTTTATTGAATATCAATTTTACCTTTCTTATTTCCCACGAAGCCCTTGTTTCACCCCTCTCTCTCCCTCTCCCTCTTCCTCTTATACCTCAACACCCAATCACCAAGTTGCAAAAAAACAATATGGCAATGAACCCAAGTAACTAGTCTTAGCATTAATCGGTGAAGAATTATGTAAAAAATTTACATAAAAAATAAAAAATCTAGTGCTATGAATCGGTTACACCATAAAATTTTTTTTTTTAAAAAAATCGGTGACACCATACACTTAAACATAATATAAGGAAAAAATTCAAAAAATATATAAAAAAAACCAGTGATACTGTACGCTTCAACATAATATAATGAAAAAATTCAAAATAATTTTTTTAGAATTTTTTTTTTAAAAAAATCGGTGACATCCTACGCTTAAACATAATACAGGAAAAAAATTCAAAATAATTTTAAAAAAAAAATTTAAAAAAAACCGGTGACATCGTACACTTAAACATAATATAAGAAAAATATTCAAAATAATTTTTTAAAAAAAAATTAAAAAAAACCGGTGATACCGTACACTTAAGCATAATACAAGGAAAAAATTCAAAAAAATTTTTTTAAAATTTTTTTTTTAAAAATCCGGTGACAATGTATGTTTAAACATAATACAATGAAAAAATTCAAAATAATTAATTTTTTTTTTTTAAAAATGGTGACATCGTATGTGTAAACATAATACCAAGAAAAAATTTAAAATAATATTTTAAAAAAAAAATTAAAAAAAAACCGGTGACACCATAATAGGAAAAAATTCAAATGAATTTTTTCTATGTGAACTGTACAGAGGAGAGTATTTGTATCATTTTTCTTACATGTACCATTGGTGAATTTATACCAACAAATAATACCACCTAATAGGTGATATTCATTAAAATTATGTACAAGGGATAAATGTTACTATACAAACCAGATCAGTATTACAACCTGAAAAATAGTATTGCACATAAAATGCCAACCAAATAAAGTAATAAGTGAGTCCCAGGTACTATTTACTATATCCCACTTCCTAATATCTCATATATTTAGCAAACAAACATGTTCATACTTGCATGAAATAGGAATATGTATTTATATATAGTCTAATGAAAAATAATTGGTTAATAAGTAAATCTTTATAAAATTTATGGGTAAAATGATAAAACGTGTGTTTCTGTCACGTCTGTTAGTCGACCAACACTGACATGGGAGGTCAGTGAAATTTCAAAAAAGATAAGGGGTGTCGTTGAAGATAAACCTATTTATAGGGGTTGTAGCTGAAATTTTTCCTTGAATATTTTATGGATGAAATTAATAAAATTAATATAATGAAGACTAAATTTATAAAACATGCATATTTTAAGGACAAAAAAATGCTATTAACCCTTCAAACATTATCCTGATGACACAAAATGGATCGCAGTTTACATCAACAGTCCTTTCTATTTATGATAGAAAATTTTATTTGTAATTTCAAGCCTTCATAATGCTTCATAACAGGAAACTACAGAAGCAGATATAGTTAAACTGCCTTATATTTCCTATTATATTAAACAGAATAACTCACATCCAGCCTTGTTATAGTCCGTTCTATTCATGATTGAATAGATAAGATGTTCATAAGATAGGAAGCAACAGAAATAAACGACCTTGGTCTTTGTTTCACATCGAACATCAAGCTTCTGCACACCTAATGAAATGTAGCCTGCTAACTGGCTTCCTATACACCAAGGCATACAGTGACAAGCAGGATTAAGGACATCATCGAATTTACCAAAATTTTCTCTGATAGCTACGGTGGATTGGCCCACTTGAATACAACCCAAAGTTTGTCCCACTGTTGGATTACCTGCTACAGTGATAGCCATAGTTTACTCTCTATGGTAATCCCAGAAATACAAATTTACTATACTAAACTTTAAGTTCATATGCCATAGAAAAGTACTGTACACTGTATATTTTATAGCATGAACTAATAGCTGGTGGACCAAATCTTCATTACATGTATAAAATTGCACGTCATAAGGAGATACTTCTAACTAACTATAAATAAAAGTTCGTTTACCTCTCATCAATTGTATAAACTTCAACAGTTTTAAATAAAATCAACCCAAAGAATACAAAAATTACATAAAAGAATTTCACAAGAATGGCTTACCTGCAATAAATAGCTCTATTTAGTTCAAACATAACAAGAATTACCTGGAAGTAGAGAGTGTTTGATATAAGTTGTGAAAGAGGTGCTGGGAATGTATGTTGAATTATTGGTTTGAAGTTACAGTTAGAGGCCCCGCCAACGACTCCGTTACAGCCTGGTTATTTCGCGCGGTTTTCTAGGAAAGTGCCAATTCAGGTTGTGAATCATCTGCTGTTCTAAATTCTCTCCAATTCATTGATTCCCAATGTCTCTAGAATTAATTATCAATTTATTGTAATTTTAAAATAAAATTATCAAATTATGATATTTTTAATTTTATTTACCAAACTACAGAAGTTACAGTTGTTATCTTTGCTTTTTAATTTTAGTTCTCTCTCGTTTGAAGAAGCAGCGCTGCATCATCACTCTAGTGTTACAGTTCTTCCTCATAAGATATAATTTATTCTACAGAAAAAAAGATTGAAGAAGAACACAATACTTTTTTTTGTTGAAAATTGAAGGATTTTAGAGCAGTTTTTTTTTTTTTGAACACCCATGTTTTGAGGAATATAACAGTTATCGAATTTAATGAGATTGCTGCATGATTTATGACAGTTTCCNTTTTTTTTTTTTGATCACCCATGTTTTGAGGAATATAACAGTTATCGAATTTAATGAGATTGCTGCATGATTTATGACAGTTTTCATATTTATTTTTTACACCAAGTAATTGTTATCTTATAGGCATTTTTGTCATCCAAAAAAAATAATAGTTCTATACAAAATATTTTGTACCGAATACTTTTTCATAATTAAATGGTAAATTAAGTATCAGTTCACAAAAAACTCGACAAAATATTTTAACTTGAGTGAATTGAGCCTATTAATTCAGTCTATCTATATCTATATTTNTGTACCGAATACTTTTTCATAATTAAATGGTAAATTAAGTATCAGTTCACAAAAAATTCGACAAAATATTTTAACTTGAGTGAATTGAGCCTATTAATTCAGTCTATCTATATCTATATTTATATAAATTTTTAAGCCAACTATATCCCTATATTTTTTTATTATGTAATATCATTTAAAACCCTTCATATACTATTTATATATATATATATTTTATCCAATATTAATTAAATATTTCAAATGACCCTTCATATACTTATGTATATCTATATCTATAGCATATATAAATGTCAACTAATTAAAATCGTTTTTGTCCTTAACCTAATCATAACTGTTTTAACTTTTTGTCTTCTAGATTAAATATTTGTAATCCAATATAAATGCTTCGTNAAATGACCCTTCATATACTTATGTATATCTATATCTATAGCATATATAAATGTCAACTAATTAAAATCGTTTTTATCGTTAACCTAATCATAACTGTTTTAACTTTTTGTCTTCTAGATTAAATATTTGTAATCCAATATAAATGCTTCGTAACTTTTAGAATTCCAGAGAACTATTCATCAGCTTAGTAACTACTGTAGATGAAGTAGCCAGACATCTCAATGGCAAGCAGTTGTGGTGGAAATGTGTCATTCAAGGTCACCCTCATCTCCATCGGAAGCTGCCCTTCCATTATTCGTTAACTTTTTGGGTTGGATTGTGTTGTGTCTCCCCTTTTTATGATTTAATATTTAAATTCTGTGAATTTTCAGGTTTAGTGTTCCAGAGGGAGTTCCATTTCAAAGTCATTTCCCATACCAGTGTTAGCTTCACCAATGGTATTCACATGCCCTCCTTTCTCAGCACATATTTATTAGCGCCTGGATGGTGTACACATTCATGTTGCTTACTCGCCACCATGCATGGTTTATTGTTAGAGAAGTCTCTACTCCCAGTGTCTGAGACTCTCGTAAGCCATTCTCATTGCTCCTCTTACAAATATGGAAATAGATTTATATGTTTTTGGGCGTGGTTTTTTACATACTCATGTTTGAACATTGTAACGTGATAATAGAGATTGAGATTTGCTTAGTCACTAGTAAAATAAAGAAACATATGTGCTTACTCATTGCTTGTCGGTGTTCGTACCTGGGAAATTAACTATATTCCATTAGGTTACTATTGACAGGCAATCCATTTAATAATCAATGCCCATCAGTTTTGTAGCAAGTTTGGGCTACCCTGAAAGGGGATTTACATATTGCCTTAAAATACTGTCCCTTCATTAACATATTTTGTTATCATGAGTTATTCCGTCAGAAGGATGGTAAAATTCTTACTTTCAAAGAATTATTGTGGAGTGGTGGATGAGGTGTCATGATACANATCATGAGTTATTCCGTCAGAAGGATGGTAAAATTCTTACTTTCAAAGAATTATTATGGAGTGGTGGATGAGGTGTCATGATACAAAGCAATTTTAGTTATCGTTTACTTTTTTTTGTTGACCGATGGACTTTTTTTTTTGGTACACAAAATGGATATGTAGATAGACCACTTCATATATCCACTAGGGAGCATTGCCCCTCGTCACCACGCATCTATTTGTTGNGGACTTTTTTTTTTGGTACACAAAATGGATATGTAGATAGACCACTTCATATATCCACTAGGGAGCATTGCCCCTCGTCACCACGCATCTATTTGTTGGGGACTCAACCGCACCTATGTTGGGACCGGAACTAAATTCCCACCGCGTGTTCTGAGCGTTGAAGAATAGGTTTAACCCAACAAACTGTCGTAGCTATGGAGATCGAACCCAAACATTGAGCAACGAAATCCGAGTTCTTACTTTGGAACAATTGCTCGTTGATGAGTGACTTTTTGTAGTCATAAGTGAATGGCAATTAATCAAAGCTATGTACAATAGTTTGTTGTACCGGTTTTTTTGTCCGTTGCNGTTGATGAGTGACTTTTTGTAGTCATAAGTGAATGGCAATTAATCAAAGCTATGTACAATAGTTTGTTGTACCGGTTTTTTTGTCCATTGCAGATAGGGATAGTTATTCTTGTTGTGAGTGAATGTAATGGGTTTTCAATTTCCAATTATAAAGCAATGTTGTATTTAGCTAAAGGGATTTTCTTTTCTTATATGAAACTATTGTACACAGCTTTCTTTTAGAGATCTAGAAAGGTTGAAACCTGGACTATTTATATGGCATCTGGAATGTGTTGTTATAATTTCTGGTAATAAATTACAGTATGCGAGTTCATTTTTGAGAAAATAAAATAAGTAGAAAAACATTTTTTTTATACCTACGATTGATATTCTCAAATACACATAGTTGTATGTTAGAAAAACGCATAATGCAATGAATCCACTACAAATGATCCATAAATATGAATACATTGTAATTTGTGTGTGCACTCACATATAGAAGAGAGAGAGAGAGAGATGCAAAATTTATAATCGTTTCGATGGCCGTAGTTTGATTAATTCCAACCTCTTTTTGTAAAATGACATGCCCTTTATCACTAAGAATGGAAATTATAGTTTTTTTTTTGTCATTCGTTGTGGTGGGCTCAATTTCCCCTTTTTTATTGCTGATAAGTACCCTCATCTCTGATCTGATAGAGGTGGAGCACTAGATCCATCTGCACTGGAGATGACAACATCATATTGAACCCCGCATTGGAGGATGGCTTTAATAATTGGTCTGGAAGAGGCTGCAAGATTCTTTTGCATGACTCTATAGGAAATGGAAAAATCATTCCAATGACTGGAAAGTTCTTTGCTTCCGCAACAGAACGCTCACCGAGCTGGAATGGGATTCAGCAAGAGATAANTAAAGTGTTATAATTCACATAATGCAATATTTGTCATTCTTCTTTATTTCTTTCTTTCTTCTTGTGCCTTTTATGCTTCTTCCTTAATTAAGCTTTTTTCTTTCCCTTCTTGCTTTTTTCTTTCCCTTCTTAGTTTCCCCCATTCTAGATAATGAAGTAGGAAATCTCATTCACATTGCTTAAACCCCCCAACAGTAAGCTAGTCTTTTTCTGCAGTGTGCAGGAAACAGACAAAGACTGGGTACAGATGTATGGAAAATTTCTTATAAATGGTTCTCCATCAAGGGTAGTAGTTTATTTAGAAGGTCCACCTCCAGGCACTGACATTCTCCTTGATAGTCTAGTGTTGAAGCACGCAAAGAAAATCCTTCCTTCACCTCCTCCAGTTATTGAGGTTAGTTCTTTAGTTGTTTTGGACCTCAGAATTTATATGGTCTATCACATGTCATCATGTAGTAAATTCTTATGCATATTTTCAAGAGTGAATTCCAAATTTCCAACTTATGTTTAAGTAGTCAACAATGGTTTTCTTGTCAACTATGTTTAAATTTCCAAATTACCTTTTTTGTTTCAAAATTTGTTGGGATAAGCTAATTTCATGGTGGTTTGTGGGGTTTAGGCTCTGACAGGTGAGTTTGAGATTTTAATCGAACAAACCCAGCGAAATTAGTTTCCTAATTGTTTGACATTGTAATTTTCATCCCTAGAACCAGAAATTTACTTGTTGGTTTTTGGTGAACTATAAAACTGGCGAATGAGAAGAAATGGTTTTTTTTCGTCATTGGTCAAATATTGGTAACTTGACCAATGGTTTACTTTCCAGGCTTATGATGGCCAAGTGACAACATTAGGCATGTTGGAACATCACTGTATGTTAGTGTAAGACAATTAATGATGACACACCAGAGGTCCAATTAATGATTTGAGATTTAAGAGGCATCATATGATTTCTGGAATTGTGAATTCAATACACTCTGTAAATTATGCGTCAACAATTAATAATATGGGTGGCAATGACTTTTAATGAGGATATGGATATGGCTGATCTATGATGGACAATGTTAATTATCTTCTACATTTCAGTATGAGTGATAAAATTGCCTTTGGAACTATGTTTTCCCATGACAGAACTCAAACAAGGATGTAATCAGTTCAAGCAACAGTATTGCTGGCAATATAATACTGAATCATGACTTCTCTGGTGGTCTGCTTTAATGGCATCCCAATTGCTGTGATGGCTTTGTGGTTTCAGCCGAGTCTGGTCACCTTGGAGCATTATTGGCAAAGTCAGGCAGTCATTATGCTGTTATTACAAATTGCAAGGAGCTTTGGCAAGGCTTGGAACAAGATATCACAAGCAGAATTTCACCAGGTTCCACCTATACAGTTTCTGCTCGTGTCGCGGAGTATCAGGGTCTCTTCAGGGCTTTGCCAATGTCCAGGCTACACTTAAATTACAATACCAAGATTCATCTACTAGCTATTTGTTGATTGGACGGTAATGAGTTCCTTCCACATTGTGGTTGCGTTCTTCTGTTTAATAAACACGTGTGCTGATGTCAATCACCAAATGCAGGACATCCGTTTCAAAAGACCAGTGGCAGACGTTGGAAGGTGAGTTTTCATTGTCAACTATGCCTGACTGTGTTGTATTTTATTTGGAAGGGCCTTCTCCTGGAGTTGACCTACTCATAGAATCAGTAGTGGTAACCTGTTCCAGTGAACCCATTGTAAGTTAGCTCTAGTTCCCGAATGCTACATGTGAGAGTAAGGACTCTAGTATTGGGGAAAGGGCAAAGCAAAAGTTTTGATGACAAGCTGAACGAAGTGAGGAAATCAAATTTGTGATCAAGTGCAATAGAATGGAAATTATAGTTCTTTTTTTTTTTGTCATTCGTTGTGATGTGCTCAATTTCCCCCTTTTATTACTGATAAGTGCCCTCATCTCTGATCTGATAGAGTCGGAGCACTAGATCCATCTGCACTGGAGATGACAACATCATATTGAACCCAGCATTTGAGGATGGCCTTAATAATTGGTCTGGAAGAGGCTGCAAGATTCTTTTGCATGACTCTATGGGAAATGGAAAAATCATTCCAATGTTTGCTTCCGCAACACAACGCTCACGGAGCTGGAATGGGATTCAGCAAGAGATAACTGGAAGAGTGCAGCGAAAGCTTGCATATGAGGTTAATGCTGCAGTGCGAATATTTGGTAACAACGTCACCAATGCTGATGTAAGGGCTACGTTATGGGTTTAGGCATCAGATCTCTGCGAACAGTACATTGGCATTGCCAAGTTAGTTTCTTCCACGTTATCTTATGTCCATGTGACGATGCATTCAATACTTTGATAAAATCTCTTTGCACAGGAAGTTCTGGTCGGATACTTGTTTTCAGTGTTTGCAACACTACCCACCACACTCTAGAATACTGCTATGCAGTATGTTGAATATATTTGATAACTATATGAAGTATGTTTAGCACTTTAGCTTCTGGCCGTGATGCTCAAAGACATGCCTTTATTTTTACTCGGTTCGGAATTTAAGCGTTAATTAAGTATTTTAATTTTATGATAATGAGAATAGATTATCCATTCCCTTAATACCATGACTGTGTTGCACCATTGCACCACAACAGCTTTGGTTTATAAATGAAAAAAAATTTCCATTTATCAAAACTCTGTTTTAGACTTCAAAAACCTTCCTGCTTGTTGAGTTTAACATTTTTGTAAAGCTTTTATGCCTATATATGTAGTTTAATTATCCCATACAAGAATTCTGTATATAGCTTATTTACATGAGAGTAATAGTTTCTGTAGTATTCTAATTTCCTAATGAACTAAAATTCTTTGTAATATGGGTACCCCCATGCCGAACATTTCACTTTCACATTTTGGGTTGTGGTGATCCTTGCTCCTTTTTTGACCTCAGATTCTTCTGCTTATAAAGATGTAATGTGTTATAATTCACATAATACAATATTTGTCATTCTTCTTTATTTCTTTCTTTCTTCTTGTGCTTTTTATGCTTCTTCCTTAATTAAGTTTTTTTCTTTCCCTTCTTAGTTTTCCCTCATTCTAGATAATGAAGTAGGAAATCTCATTCACATTGCTTAAACCCCCCAACAATATGGTAGTTTTTTTCTGCAGTGTGCAGGCAACAGACAAAGACTGGGTACAGATGCATGGAAAATTTCTTATAATTGGTTCTCCATCAAGGGTAGTAGTTTATTTAGAAGGTCCTCCTCCAGGCACTGACATTCTCCTTAATAGTCTAGTGTTGAAGCACGCAGAGAAAATCCCTCCTTCACCTCCTCCAGTTATTGAGGTTAGTTCTTTAGCTGTTTTGGACCTCAGAATTTATATGGTCTATCACATGTCATTATGTAGTAATTTCTCATGCATATTTTCATGAGTGAATTCCAAATTTCCAACTATGTTTAAGCAGTCAACAATGGTTTTCTTGTCATCCAGAATGCAGCTTTTGGAGTTAATATTATTGCGAACAGCAACCTCAATGATGGCACCAATGGTTGGTTTCCTCTTGGCAATTGCACTCTGACTGTTGGAACTGGTTCACCACATATACTGCCTCCAATGGCAAGAGATTCTCTTGGACCTCATGAGCCTCTAAGTGGTTCGTACATTCTTGTCACTAATCGCACTCAGACTTGGATGGGTCCTGCTCAGATGATCACAGATAAAGTGAAACTCTATTTGACATATCAAGTATCTGCATGGGTCCGAATTGGTCCTGGGGCCACTTGTCCTCAGAACATAAACGTAGCACTTGGCGTGGACAGCCAGTGGGTAAATGGTGGCCAAGCTGAGGTTAATGATGACAGATGGCATGAAATCGGTGGCTCTTTTAGGATCGAGAAGCAACCAGACAAAGTGATGGTATATGTTCAAGGTCCTGCCCCTGGTGTGGATATGATGGTTGCTGGCCTTCAAATTTTTCCTGTTGATCGACAGACAAGGTTCAGACATTTAAAGAAGCTAACTGATAAGGTACTTTCTGGGTTTATATCTGTTGTATTTCATGGAATATACTGAATTGGGTGTTCAGACAAGAAGAAGACGTCAATGATTTGTCTTGTTATTTCATAGTTTTGGTAAATTGAAGTTCTTCTGACTCGGACTAAAGCCGTAGCATTTGAAAATGTATCTGCCAAAATGGATCTTCCTGGGTCCTTGTCCTTTTACAATACTAAATTGACCTCTCAATTTAAACATTGTAGTATGAAAAATCCCTTGTACCCCAAAGCTAGGCAGTAAATCTGGTTTATAGTCAAAGTTCACCACTTGCTGTAAAGGGCACAAGAAGTCTGGTTCTCTTACAGCAATTTCTGTCTCTCTAAAACTGGAAAAAAGCAGAAAAAAATGACTTGATCTTGCTAGGGTGTTCTTTTTTGTTCTAAATGGGTTGTCCATAAATACCTCATAGTGGGTAAAAATTTAATTACCTATGTATTAATAAATGTAATTACCTCTCCGCCACAGATAGAGTAAAAAGTGCCTAGAGAATATAAGCATCAGAATCAGTAAATACATGTCTTCTCCTACAGTACGCAGTTTGAATAAAAGAATGCCAAGTATTATTCGTTGAAGTACTCACAACCTGAACTCTTAATTGTTTGTTTGTCTGCCATTTCTATAAAAGACTGGGCAAGCTGCATTTGTCTTTTTATGTACACTCTGCGTCTCTGACCTAAGACGATTGTCCTTGCTCTTCATGCAGATACGTAAGCGTGATGTTACCCTGAAATTCTCAGTATCAGATTCAGGCAGTTTGCCTGGCACCTTTTTGAGGGTCAAGCAAACACAAAACAGTTTCCCCTGTGGGTCATGCATGATGAGAACAAACATAGACAATGAAGACTTTGTTGATTTCTTTGCTAAAAATTTTAACTGGGCTGTGTTTGGAAATGAGTTGAAGTGGTATTGGACAGAGCCACAGCAAGGAAATTTCAACTACAGAGATGCTGATGAGCTCTTGAACTTGTGCACGAGCCGGAATATTGCAGTCCGTGGACACTGTATTTTCTGGGAGGTGGAAAACACAGTTCAATCCTGGATACGGGCTTTAAATAAAACCGACTTGATGACAGCTGTTCAAAACCGTCTGACAGGCCTTCTCACACGCTACAAGGGAAAGTTTAAGCACTATGATGTGAACAATGAGACGATGCATGGGTCGTTCTATCAAACCATCTGGGAAAAGATATCAGAGCAAACATGTTCAAGACTGCAAACAAACTAGACTCATCTGCCACCCTGTTTGTAAATGATTACCATGTTGAGGATGGTTGTGACACCAGATCATCTCCAGAAAAGTACATTGAACACATTCTTGATTTGCAAGAGCAAGGCGCGCCTGTGGGAGGAATTGGAGTTCAAGGGCATATAGATAGTCCAGTTGGGCCAATCATTTGTTCTGCTCTGGATAACTTGGGCATTCTTGGTCTTCCAATTTGGTTCACAGAGCTTGATGTGTCTTCCAATAACGAGCATGTTAGAGCTGATGACTTGGAAGTAATGCTCCGGGAAGCTTTTGTCCATCCTGCAGTTGATGGTGTGATGCTGTGGGGATTCTGGGAGTTGTTCATGAGCCGAGACAATTCTCATTTAGTGAATGCAGAAGGTGACCTTAATGAAGCTGGAAGAAGGTACCTTGCTCTTAAACAGGAGTGGCTGTCCCATGCTCATGGGCATATCGATGATCAGGGACAATTCGGGTTTAGAGGCTTCCAGGGAACGTATGAGGTGGAAGTTGTCACCCTGTCCAAGAAAGTTTCTAAGACATTTTTTGTTGACAAGGGTGAGGAACCCCTGGTGGTATCTATAAACTTATAGTTTCACAATAAATATATTTCATTTGTGCTTGTGTTGTATGATATACTGTGTGAAAATAGAAAATGTAGTGGGCAAATGAAGATTGTCTTCTTGTTTCAGATATTACACCTTGTACCTCAATACTTTGTAATATTCCTAAATTGGTGTGCATTATGAAGAAATTATATTTTCTTAAAAGAATATAATGATGTTAAGGAATGGGCCTAAAGTCATGGTCCAATGTCCTTATTCTTGGAACTGTCCAATGTCTTGATTGACCATTTCATGCAACAAGGATTTTGGGCTGGACAGTAACCATAATATAAAGGGTGGGGTTATTCCCATCCCATTTAATTTTTTCATTATCAAACTATCAAGACCACCTCTTTTATACTCACCTCATTAGTAATTAAATTCACCTCATATTACATACACCCCATTAATAGTTAAACTCATTCATTTTATGTACACCCTTTTAATGAAAAAAGTTATCGTAAAAAAAAAAATAATGAACGAAGACAATTAGTTTAAATGCATAAACATATTTATGAAACAAGAAAAAAATAAAGAACCATGTAAAATTGGGAAAAAAAAAATCAATAACGAAACAAGTTAGAAGAATCAAGCATTCTGAAACAAGAAAAAGAAAATAAAGAAAAGAAAGAGACCGAAACAAGGAAAAAAAGAAAATAACGAAACAAGAAGAAAGAAAAGAAAAGAAAGAGGGAGACCGAAACAAGAAAAAAGAAAAGAACGAACAAGGGAAAAATTGAAAGAAAGAAGCAAATCGAAACAAGAAGGAAAAAAAACAAAGAAATATTAAAGGAACAAGCAAAATTACAAACGCAAAATTGAATATAAAAAAAAGAATAAATATCAAGCACAAACACAAAATTGATCAAGAAAAAAAATAACAAGCATAAATGAAAAACCTTTACAAGATAAAAAAAAACAAATAATCGAAAAGCATACATATATTTACACATATAAATTCTAAATAAAAATTTATTAAACTTGATGGAGATGTCAAAACATACCAAAAATAATAAAAATATATATAACAAATATGAATTCAAACATATAACTAAATTGATAAATAATACTAACTTGTGTCTTATTGAAAAAATTCATATTGAAAAAAGTTTTTTGTAAGTGTAGGAGATAAGATAGATAATGAAATCCAAATAATAACAAAATATAAAATGAATTTACTTATTAATAGGGGTGTATGTAGTATGTGATGGGTATAGAAATGGTGAGTTTAATATTTTGATAATGAAAAATTAAATGGGGTGACAATGGAGATTTGTCGGGTGGGAATAACCCCACCCTAATATAAAAGGTGTTCCTGCTTTAATAAAAAAAACACTAGTTCATTAAGTGAAAAACACAATGAATTTTTATAGTAAGTAGCATAGCAAGAAGCCCTAAATCTTTAGTTTGATTTGTCTTAGGCCCAAGATGCGAAGAAAACTTCTCTTCCACACTTACTTTTCTCTGTGCCCATTCCGCATGCCCTTCACCAGCCATCGGGGTTGTGAATCATGCTTAATGTTTAGTTGGATACGATGAAAAAATAAAAAAAATAGATAAAACATCATGTTTGATAAAGAAGGAAAATAAGAAAGATGAAAAAGTGGATGAATTAACTTTCTTTCCAACTCACAAAAATCAATCCCTCTAAAATCGAAAGGAAAGTGGATGAAAAATTAATTATTTGTGTTGAGGATGTATCTTATTTGTCTATATATTATGTATAGACTAATTTCATATAAAAATGTGTGTATATATATAATGTTTTAAAAATAAAAATAAAAAATTTTAATTTAAAAAAAAAATTCATCTTAACTAGGATAAAAGTTTTCGACTCAACACCATGACACGACTCGAACTCAACACAAATTTTATGATGCGAACTTGATTATAACTCGACACGAACTTCAAAATGACTTGACACGCAAATAAGAAATATAAAAGACTCATAATTTTATGACTCAACATGAATTTGACACTACACGACTTGATTATCAATCCTAATCTTAGCCAACACAAAAAAAATATAAAAAAAAATTAGTCATTTTTATTTTTAATCCATCCAACCAAACACAAAGAAAATAAAATGTATCATTCCTATTTTTCATCTTTGAAGGATAGAAAATGTATCTCCTTCTATTTTCTATCCTTCATACTTTCCATTATTTCAACCAAACGGAGTATAAGACTAGGCCCGTCAATGGTGAGGATTTTAATTTGAATTCAAGCCTATTTTAAATGGATATGAATTAATATTTTAATCTATTTTATTCGAAGTCAATCTAAATTCAATCAAATTTCTTTAAACGGATTTGGATTTAAATATATGTAAATTTGATCTGGTATATATATATATATATATATATANAAGACCCTCGCCTCGCTTTCTATTCATTTTTCGGGACCCGAGGGCCTTTTTTTTTCAAGAGGTGATTTCGAGAATCAACCAACCGACAAATCCGCAGCCCAGGTGACTCCTCCACAGCCTCCCTCTCGCCCAAATGAAATGAAATGGGATGAATCAAATCAATAAGCTTATTGATTGATTCAGGGCGCAGCGAAGCCAAATTCAATCAAGGCAAGGGGGCTTACTTTTCCTGACGCTGAGTCATCCTATTCCAATTTAGCTATGCTAATGGAACAGGAAAAGTTTTCAGATGATATGGACCCCAAGAGATGAGCGAGAACCCCCAATTGCTTAGGGGTCGCACTCTGTCCCGCTTGGTGGACGAAATCTTCTCTCCTTTTAGAATGATTTCTCCCACACACCTTTGCCCTCTTTCACCGAAGGAAGAGGAAATCAAAAAAAATCTTCCAAGCGGCCTAAAATCAAAGGACCTAAATTTCCATTAGATTCATTCCTAAGCTTGCTTTGTTGCAGCAAGATGATCAGTCCGAGAGTGCTGGAGAGAAGAGAAAGCGGTAAAAACCTCTCGGATTCGGTCACCGAGCAGTCGACGATTCTTTCACTGTATACCCCCCCATCCTTCGGAGATGGAAGAAAGGGCACTATAATTATATATAATAGGGCCCCAGAACGCTAAAAGGTGGGGGAATAAGAGTTGTCACGATAGAAAAGAGAAAGAAATGACTATAAGGAACCAACGATTCTCTCTTCTTAAACAACCTATATTCTCCACACTTAATCAGCATTTGATAGATTATCCAACCCCGAGCAATCTTAGTTATTGGTGGGGGTTCGGTCCGTTAGCTGGTATTTGTTTAGTCATTCAGATAGTGACTGGCGTTTTTTTAGCTATGCATCACACACCTCATGTGGATCTAGCTTTCAACAGCGTAGAACACATTATGAGAGATGTTGAAGGGGGCTGGTTGCTCCGTTATATGCATGCTAATGGGGCAAGTATGTTTCTCATTGTGGTTCACCTTCATATTTTTCGTGGTCTATATCATGCGAGTTATAGCAGTCCTAGGGAATTTGTTCGGTGTCTCGGAGTTGTAATCTTCCTATTAATGATTGTGACAGCTTTTATAGGATACGTACCACCTTGGGGTCAGATGAGCTTTTGGGGGGCTACAGTAATTACAAGCTTAGCCAGCGCCATACCTGTAGTAGGAGATACCATAGTGACTTGGCTTTGGGGCGGTTTCTCTGTGGACAATGCCACCTTAAATCGTTTTTTTAGTCTTCATTATTTACTCCCCTTTATTTTAGTAGGCGCCAGTCTTCTTCATCTGGCCGCATTGCATCAATATGGATCAAATAATCCATTGGGTGTACATTCAGAGATGGATAAAATTGCTTCTTACCCTTATTTTTATGTAAAGGATCTAGTAGGTTGGGTAGCTTTTGCTATCTTTTCTTCCATTTGGATTTTTTATGCTCCTAATGTTTTGGGGCATCCCGACAATTATATACCTGCTAATCCGATGCCCACCCCGCCTCATATTGTGCCGGAATGGTATTTCCTACCGATCCATGCCATTCTTCGTAGTATACCTGACAAATCGGGAGGTGTAGCCGCAATAGCACCAGTTTTTATATGTCTGTTGGCTTTACCTTTTTTGAAAAGTATGTATGTACGTAGTTCAAGTTTTCGCCCGATTCACCAAGGAATATTTTGGTTGCTTTTGGCGGATCGCTTACTACTAGGTTGGATCGGATGTCAACCTGTGGAGGCACCATTTGTTACTATTGGACAAATTTCTCCTTTTGTTTTCTTCTTGTTCTTTGCCATAACGCCCATTCCGGGACGAGTTGGAAGAGGAATTCCTAATTCTTACACGGATGAGACTGATCACACCTGATCAGTGAAAAATTCTGACACCAATCATTTACGAGTGAGTATTACACCAAGAATTGACAAGCGGATGAGTTTTCTAGTTGGCTATGTTGATATAACTTAGATAGGGAAAAGATACTATAGGTAGGGCTGAACTTTTAAATCCGGGGGCTTTGTCCCCTCCCCCTCCCTCTCCCTTACTCGCCCTTTGAAAGCCAGAACATTCGCATAGAGGGGTATATGTATCAAACATGCTCCTCCACTGATGACAAAATGACCCAATCTCTCTCTCTTTCCTTATAGGCAGCAAGAGTCCGTAATCCCCCAGCGGTTATATCGGTCTTTCTGCTTAATCAGTACAAGATTCCCGTCCTCGCTTCTTCCGTGGGTGGGTATAGCGCTTTCCTTCCTCTAGTTCGAGAGTTGCAGGAGCAAGAAAGGGGCTTCCATATTAGTAGTTGTAGTTGGCACTCATCCCGCTCTTGCTGCATCGATTGAATTCAGTATGAGTGAAGTTCCTGTTCTGTTTCGTATCAAGTAGGGATCCTCTGTTTAGCGAATCGATTTTCTGTTTAGCTTAGCTCATCCCGCTTATCTCTTATCTCGGTTTATAGAAAACGTTCTTCATGGCCCTTTTTATTTGCTAAATCGCGAGTTTACGGGGTCTTTAGGGTCACGATAGGTCTCTTCAAATGCTGCCGCCGTTTATTGAAACTGGAATTCCATAAGTGAAGTATAGTACGCAAGGAAGGACCTATCTGAAAGGAAGGTAACGGCTGGCACATAGGGACATCGGTTTAAGCTCCCTCAATGGGTAGCTCATCTCATTGGCTAGCTAGCTCATATGGAATAGGTCTCTGGCTTGCTCCTGTCCGCTCTTTGGTTATCTATCGGAAAGAGTCGTCATCTTTCCTTTCTGTCCACAAAGAAATGATTTATATGTATTCCCGCGAATCTGGAATCTCTGTAACTATGGCAAACGGTCAAAGCGTTCTGATAAGGGAAGAAGATACGTAAGCCTCTTTTGTCTCGAAAAAGGCCTTTTTGCTTTCTGTAAATTCAAGAGAAAGAGGATTTCCGCTTAGCCCGCCCCTAGCTCTCAGTGCGAAGTCTTTGATTCTCTACTGCTTTCTCTAATGCTAGCTCTCGATTGATTGAGTCTAGTCAAAAAAACAAACGAAACTTTAGTGGTTCCTGGAATCCATAGGGTCAATAAATGCGCCATGGCCCCTTTGAAGGCGTAGTGTAGACTACTTTCATTCCACTTTCATATTTCTATATAGTCCTTATGTTTTGGTAGCTTTAAGCACTTGCTTAAGGTGCCTTCAAGTAGTCAAACTTGCTTTGAAGAATCCAAACCTCACAAGAGTATAAAACCTCTAGTGGGGCCCGCATCTAAAGCCAAGATTGGTTTTAGATTACGGACAAAGTCCCATGCTTTGAACGCGAGCCCATACCTTTTCAGGGTGGACTCATCGGATACTCGGACGATGCGCCGAGGTGCGATGGGGGGCTTCATTAGATCTTCCAAAGAAATAGAAAAGTCAAGGATTACCTTGGCATACCAATGAAGATATTCAAGATGGAGTTTGAGATAAGACTGTAAAAGTCTCTCCAACATCATTTCTTCATCATTTATCCAGAATAGGCGCAACTGGGAAAAGGACTCTTCGTCCAGATCCCGAGGAGCAACCCGTTCTAGGATAAAAGCCCGAACTGCACCTTCTTCATAACAAGTCAGAATTCCCCTTTCGGGAAACGCTAACCATAACTTAAAAGGGAGTGGGCATATGCCGGACCCTGAGTACAAAGTTAACCAATGTCTTTTCCAGCGGGGGGAGAGTGAATCGAAAAATGAACAATTCACTCCCACCCTCACCTTGGAGAAGACACGGTAACCCATGAACTATAAGGCTCTCAGTCGGAAGGAATTAAGTAAATGAACTCCCAACTGCTGAAAGACGAAGGAACTTACGAAACCAGAACATATTTTAATACACGACAGGGAAACAGGACTACAATCTGTCCTATCTGCCCTGTGGTAATAATAAAGCGCTTTGCGAATTCGCAGGCCCCCTTAGAGGACACAAGGGATTTCTCTTTCGAAATAACCCCCTGTGCTTCCTCCATGATCCTCTGATACTCAAGGGCCACCTTCTTATCGGCGATAACTATATCATCGCCGAGGATGGCATAATCCTCGAATCTCTGCCCTGGATACACTTCATAAGCCGCTAGCCACACTAAAGCATGATGCGTTAGGGTGAATACCGGCCATGATGAGTAGTAACCGAGAGCAGGGAATAAAGGGCCTCGAGTAAACCGATAAACTCTCGCCTTCAAACGTGAAGGGAGTCTATCCGGACTCCGAAAGCCCACCATGGTCATAAGAAAGCACCATGCCCCACTCAAATACATGGCCAAGGAGTCACCGAAAAGACTCGCCAACAGAGATCCAGAGAGGTCAACAGGTAAGAGGCCCTCCTCTACCTGCGCCGACTTAAGGTCGAAGGAGTATAACTCCCTCCTACCCTTAAGGCGGTGCAGCGGTGCCAGCTGGTTGAAAGTACCGTCCATCCTAATAGTGGAAAGGACTTTCATCACCCAATCGTGCAGGGGCCTTAACAGCGCCTGGAAGATTGGATTCGCAATAGCGAACAGCCGGATCTTACCGCTCCCCTCAAGTTTACGCCCAAAGCGTCCAGCTTCAGGTCGGGTTATCATAGTATCCCACCACAACGCTTGCGCCGGTGGTAGTAAAGCTTGAATAAACCAACCAAAGCCGTCTGTTCCTTCCTTAATCGGCTCGACAGGATTATCATAACCGGAATCAGGAATGATTTCCCGGTCAGAGAACCAAAGCGAGCCTTTGCCAAGTAAGCGGCTAGATCCTCAGGTTTAAACAAAGTGAGTAAAGCTGAGGCGTCCACTGGTAGAGAATGGTAGATAGTCATTTGAAACTTCCGCCATTTCTCTACTAGGGGCTTCCCGTCCCTTAACTTAACACAAGACTCCTTGCGGTAGTCTTTGTAAGTATTCGGACCAGAAGTGAACGTAGGCTTAAAGGAAAACCACTGTAGTAATGCTCAACGGGATCTTCCTATAAGCTGGTGCATAAGCGCTGAGCATCGAGAAACCCGATGTTAGTAGCTTAACACAGAGCTTCTGAGCTTGCTCCCCGAGTTGGAAGTTTGGAATGTGGATGGTTGAGGGGTTTACCCTCATCCCCCGTTTCGGAACGACCTTAATCAGACGTGAAAGTGCGCAAATAGACAGCACTACGCGAATGACTCTCGGGTCATCACCTCTCCGTATTATCTTTCTATAGTGGGGAGGGATGAAACGCGGTATGCCGCTTTGAGTTAGAGAAACAAAAGTCTTCATTTTGGGTCGAGAGTCTCTCTCACCGCCCAATATAGTCCTTATGCGCGTACAGTCCTTTCGCGCTACGCTAGGACGCTTATATCCGTTGCTTGCATTCTTCCTCCCTTTCTCTTTGATTTGCTTCCTTTGGAGTTTGAGCTTAGCCATCTCTTCCAGTGTTCTGTGCCCTTGTCTTTCGCTCTATGGCAGCAAAGGATGCGCTTATTCAGGGACGTTCAAAGCAGCGTGGTAGATCAACACGGTTATATAATAGGGGGAGCAGCAAGAAAGCATTCGTCAATCAGGATCGGTGCTCAGGCTACCCATGTACATGCGAGGTATAATTTGTGTTACAAATAGTGAGTATTGTTTGAAATAGTGAAATTAATAATGTCTTCCAATTGAACTTGTACTCATAAGGTAATTAAACAAGTGACTGACCAATGGAGGAAGATGACAGATAGTGAGAAACAAAAATACAAAGAAATGTCTAAACATGCAAAGAGTGAATATGATCGTGTGAAAGATAATTCTGGGGAAATGACAGTCCAGGTAAATATATAATGTTGATGTTAATTTTTATGTGCATGGTTTACATTTATTGCATCTCTCCAACTGACTTTTCTGTCTATGTTTTGATGAATTATCAAAGGGGACGCTTGGTACAAGGTATTCGTCTGGGAAAATTGTAAAAATGATACGAATTTTAGGTGATGAGCATAAAGCTGCAATAAAAGAACTTGGTTTTGGGGGGATATTGAGCCTCAGATGTGGGGAACTGAAGCGGGGTTTATGTGCATGGTTGATTGAATGGTTTGACACTGTGTCATTGACATTNAACCCTAAACCCTCAACCCTAAACCCTCAACCCTAAACCCTCAACCCTAAACCCTGAACCCTCAACCCTGAACCCTCAACCCTGAACCCTCAACCCTAAACCCTCAACCCTAAACCCTAAACCTTAAACCCTGAACCCTAAACCCTCAACCCTGAACCCTCAACCCTGAACCCTGAACCCTCAACCCTGAACCCTCAACCCTGAACCCTGAACCCTGAACCCTGAACCCTAAACCCTGAACCCTAAACCCTAAAACCCTAACCCCTAAACCCTAAACCCTAAACCCTAAACCCTAAACCCTAAACCCTAACCCCTAAACCCTAACCCCTAAACCCTAAACCCTAAAACCCTAAACCCTAAACCCTATAACCCTAAAACCCTAAAACCTTAAACCCTAAACCCTATAAACCCTAAACCCTATACCCTATACCCTNCCCGGGGACTCCATTACGCTGCTCGCCCTATTAGCCGGCGGCAACCGTGGTAATTCATTAATTTAAGCCAGTTCCGGGTTATATATTGTACGGCGAAACTCGCTAATAGATATATGTTTTATCAGGAACCAGACCTGCATGCACGAAGAATAACATATATATCTGGTCATCTTCTTGTGGAACTTCTGTCGTCCCGTTCATTGTGGTTCCTCGGCCCTGCTAGCCATTTGCTTGCTCGAACTGTACACATTCAAAGAGGGGGCAAGCTAAACAAGCAAGCAAGCCATCCAAGTTTATAGGGTCGAAGGTTAGAAAGAACTTGGAAGTTTCCCTGTGACTAACTTAGCGCAATTTCGGTGGTAGCCATTGGGCTAAGTCTCTATAAAGAGCCACTCACATCTTTATTTATAGTTCGGTGTGAGATCAGCTAACTTGGCCACTGAAGAAGGCGAAGGCTGGGCGAGAGAGTAGGCCAACTTATTGCCATGCCATGGTTGGANGTGGTAGGCCGAAGAACCGTTGAAGGCTTCAACTTGGCCACTGAAGAAGGCGAAGGCTGGGCGAGAGACTAGGCCAACTTACTGCCATGCCATGGTTGAAGCTTTAGGCTCCATAGACGGAACTATGTATTAGGTATTAGGGAGGGGAGGACACCACTCAGCACCTAAGGTGGGGTTCAATGCCTAACAAAAACGGCCAAAAGAAAAAAAGGGAAAAAAAAGAGATGTATGGCTGAGGGAGGGAGAGAAAGAACACATGCATGGAGATTCTGTCTGTCGGAGGTTCGAGAATCTATGAAAGGACATCTAAGGCTAAGGCTAAGAAACAAAATAAAATGACCAAATAATCATCAACCTACTCCATGCCTTTGCTCACATACCACCCTTTTAATCAACCTGACAGTAGGCAAACTATTTTGATCTTGGTATAAGAGTAACCTTGCAGCTGTTGGCAACATATCAGTTCCAGAAAAATCCAAAGATTTACCAGAATGCACAGCAAAAGAGGCTAAGAAATCTGCAACAATATTGACCTGCCTATAAACATGCCTCAATTGATACTTAAGTCTTGCTAGAGCCTGTAAAATTTGTTCCATAATACTCTGCAACCTCCAATGAATATCTGCTTTTCCCAAAATCATCTGAATTAGAATCTAAGAATCAGATTCAATCCAAAATTCTTTACCCTGCAGCTCATTTCTCAAGATCAAATTCAAACCATCAAGCAAAGCCTTACACTCAGCTTGCATGTTTGAACCTATTCCATAAAATGCAGCAGCAGCCAAAATAATATGCCCCCTTGAATCCCTTAACACCATTCCTCCTCCAGATAATCCAGTGCTTCCTTTAGAGGCACCATCCACATTTAGCTTCAGCATGTTACTAGGAGGTGGATCCCATTTTACCCATATCACCTTAGTTACGACAAAGAAAGGGGAGCCAACTTTCAAATCATTCAACATATCCTTTCATCTTTGATCCTCACCTCTGCTAGGTTTGATGAGATAAGCTTGCCACCTCAAAGCATACACCACTTGTAAAAAAACAGCATAAGCATTTAATTTTAGACCCTCATACCTCCTTCTACATCTCTCTTTCCACAAGGCCCAAAAAACCAGCATAGGCACCCCTCTGATCAAAACATGACTCAGAGATTGATGCTTAAATCTTCTTATCAGTTTCAAAAATCTGCACAATGGAGATTCTCCTACCAGTATATCAAAACCCATAATAGCAGCTAATCTGCTCCACACAACATGAGAAATAGTACGACTAATAAACAAATGAATAGCAGACNGCTTAAATCTTCTTATCAGTTTCAAAAATCTGCATAATGGAGATTCTCCTACCAGTATATCAAAACCCATAATAGCAGCCAATCTGCTCCACACAGCATGAGAAATAGTACAACTAATAAACAAATGAATAGCAGACTCCTCCTCCATGCCACATAGATCACATTTACTAACCATTGCAACTCCCACACTTCTCACCCTATCATCAGTAGTCATAGCAGCTTTAAAAATTTTCAAAGTGCAAAACTGTGCACTAGGAAATGTTTTTTGTTTCCATATACTTTGAGCTATGCTACTCTGCACACCATTTTGCCTGACTTCCTGCCATGTAGATTTCACACTAAAACTTCCAGAATTAGAAAATATCCATACTCTCTTGTCAGGTTTATCAGAGCATTTCAACCCAGCATTTCTAATCTCATCAGCTAACAAAGGAGAGAGCCATTCAGAGATATCATCAAACTGCCAACCACTACCATTCCGCAATTCACTAACTTTGGGAAAATACAAAGGAATCCCCTCAAGTCTGAGAAGTAAAGGACAATTATCCAACCAAGGATCACACCAAAAGTCTACATTCTGACCATCTCCAACTATCACCTTAGAACTTTGCAACACAAAATCAAACCAAGGCCTCAAAGCCTTAAAGCTTTAACCTGCTCCAGAATTCATACACCTCAGCTTGTGTTTTCCTTTGAGATATTTTTCTCTAAAACCTTAGCCCATAATGAATGACCATTGTAAATGCTCCACACCTGTTTGATCCTAAATGCAGATTGAAGATCACCAAAACTTCTCAATCCCAGGCCCCCGTCAAATCTGGGCAAAGAAATAGTGGCTAAAGATACCCAATGCCTCCTTTTAGCATCCAGCTTACCAGACCAGATGAAACCAGAAATGAGGGAATTCAGCTTATTCAGAATCCCTTTAGGAATATTCATGCAGGCTAACATATGTAATGGGATAGAGTTAAGCACGGATTGAACCAGCACCATCCTTCCCATACCAGACAACATCTTAACATACCAGCCTTCAATTCTACTTCTAAAGCTCCTCACCATCCCTTCAAAATAGCATTTCCTCACTCTTCCTCTTATTATAGGACACCCTAAATAAGTAAATGGGCAGGACTTAATGGGAATACCCACCACAGCAGCCAACATATTTCTTCTGCTTAAAGAAATTCTCTTGGAGCAGAACATGGAGCTTTTAGATCTATTCACTTTCTGACCAGAAGAAGATTCATAAACACCAATAAACTCCAATACATTCAACACAGACTTTTTAGTCCCTCTGAGAAAAACCAGTGTATCATCAGCAAACAGCAAGTGACTGACCAATGTAGTCCCTCTGCCAATATGGAAATGAGTTACCAATTTCTACTCATATATATTCCTTAATCCTCTGCTCAGCACCTCCTCAGCAAGAATGAATAAGGTAGAGGAAAGAGGATCCCCTGCCTTAAACCCCTAGAATTAGCAAAGTAACCATACCTCTATCCATTCAAGCAAATTGAAAAGAATTGAGTAGACAAACAATTCAGAATAATTTGGGTGAACAAGTTTGAAAACCCAAAACAACTTCAAACCTTCAAAAGAAAATCCCATTCCAGCCTATCATAGGCTTTCATCATATCAAGTTTCAAAACCATGTTTCCTCCCTCCACTTTTCTATCCAGTTCACCTACCAACAGTTGCCCGAGTGCCACACACTCACCAATACCTCTCCCTTTAACAAAACCATGATGTTCCTCAGAGACCAATTTAGGAAGAAGAGTAGAGAGTCTAGTATTAATCAGCTTGGTAAAAATCTTATATAAGAAATTGCACAAGCTGATGGATCTGAAATCAGAAAAGGAAATAGGATTATCTTTCTTAGGGATCAAGACCAACAAAGTAGAATTCACTGATTTAGGCATTATTCCTCCTTTCAAAAGAAAATTCACAGCATTCAACACATCCAACTTTATAATTTCCCAAGCAAACTGAAAAAATCTACCAGATAAACCATCTGGACCAGGAGCACTTTCAGCTACCATAGAGAAAACCACATCCTTTAGTTCCTCCAAGGAGACCTCAGCAGTCAGTCTTAGGTTTTCCTCATCACTGACCAAGTTAGGAATCACAGAAAAAATCTGTTCATGAAGTGTATGCTCCTCTGACTTATATAATTCAGCAACCTGAGCAATCTCCTGGTCCCCTTGAACCCAAATCCCCTCCCTGTTTTGAATTCTAGAAACCTTGTTTCTCAGAATCTTACTCTTAGCAATGGCATGAAAAAATTTTGTATTTCTCTCCCCTTGTATAGCCCACCTGATATTGGACTTTTGCTTCCAGTAAATTTCCTCTTTTCTCAATAAAAAATCCAGCACACACTTATGTTCCTCAAGTTCCATAGCTTTAGCTGGAGANCGAGTGCCACACACTCACCAATACCTCTCCCTTTAACAAAACCATGATGTTCCTCAGAGACCAATTTAGGAAGAAGAGTAGAGAGTCTAGTATTAATCAGCTTGGTAAAAATCTTATATAAGAAATTGCACAAGCTGATGGGTCTAAAATCAGAAAAGGAAATAGGATTATCTTTCTTAGGGATCAAGACCAGCAAAGTAGAATTCACTGATTTAGGCATTATTCCTCCTTTCAGAAGAAAATTCACAGCATTCAACACATCCAACTTTATAATTTCCCAAGCAAACTGAAAAAATCTACCAGATAAACCATCTGGACCAGGAGCACTTTCAGCTACCATAGAGAAAACCACATCCTTTAGTTCCTCCAAGAAGACCTCAGCAGTCAGTCTTAGGTTTTCCTCATCACTGACCAAGTTAGGAATCACAGAAAAAATCTGTTCATGAAGTGTATGCTCCTCTGACTTATATAATTCAGCAACCTGAGCAATCTCCTGGTCCCCTTGAACCCAAATCCCCTCCCTGTTTTGAATTCTAGAAACCTTGTTTCTCAGAATCTTACTCTTAGCAATGGCATGAAAAAATTTTGTATTTCTCTCCCCTTGTATAGCCCACCTGATACCGGACTTTTGCTTCCAGTAAATTTCCTCTTTTCTCAATAAAAAATCCAGCACACACTTATGTTCCTCAAGTTCCATAGCTTTAGCTGGAGAATAAACTTGATCTAAATTCATCTCAGCCAAACAAATTTTCTGCTCCTAAGCTCTAATATTGTCAAAAAGGTTGCCAAACACCTCTTTATTCCACAATTTCATATGTGCCTTCAAATATTTCAGCTTAATAAACAGATTAGACATGGGATTATTAGAGTAAAACCCATTCCAATTAGCTGAAATTAAGCCTAAGAAACCTTCATGTTCACACCACATATCCTGAAATCTGAAATATGAAATTCTCCTCAGAGCTGGCTCATTCTTAATTTTCAAAAGCAGAGGGCAATGGTCAAAAGCAGCTCTAGCTAAATGAATCACCTCCAAGCCTCCAAACCTCATATTCCAATATGCATTGATCAATGCCCTATCTAGTCTCTGCAACATTCTCACACACCCTTGTCGATTATCACACTAGGTAAACTTGTTGCCATTAAAACCCGCAACCATTAGGCCACTTTGATCCAGACAATCCCCAAAATCCTCCATTGCAACTAAAGAAGGGAAAACACCCCCTCTTCTTTCCTCCAAACCCTAAACCCTAAACCCCAAACCCCAAACCCTAAACCCTAAACCCCAAACCCCAAACCCTAAACCCTAAACCCCAAACCCCAAACCCTAAACCCTAAACCCTAAACCCTAAACCCTAAACCCTAAACCCTAAACCCTAAACCCTAAACCCTAAACCCTAAACCCTAAACCCTAAACCCTAAACCCAAAACACTAAACCCTAAACCCTAAAACCCTCAACCCTAAACCCTCAAACCCTAAAACCCTCAAACCCTAAAACCCTCAACCCTAAACCCTCAACCCTAAACCCTCAACCCTAAACCCTAAACCCTAAACCCTAAACCCTAAACCCTAAACCCTAAACCCTAAACCCTAAACCCTAAACCCTAAACCCTAAACCCTAAACCCTAAACCCTCAACCCTAAAACCCTAAACCCTAAACCCTAAAATCCTAAAACCCTAAACCCTAAACCCTAAACCCTAAACCCCTAAAATCCTAAACCCTAAACCCTAAAAAAACCCTAAACCCTAAACCCTAAAACCCTAAACCCCAAACCCTAAACCCCAAACCCCAAACCCCAAACCCCAAACCCTAAACCCATGATTAGAGCATTCTCCACTCTAAGAATCAAGGGTCTAGTATCCAACCATGAGTCACACCAAAAATCAGTATTTTGTCCATTTTCAACAATTTTCTGTGAATTCTATAACGTGAAATTTAACCAAGGCCTCAATACTTGAAAAGACTGACCAGCACCAGTATTTCCACATCTTAGCATATGCTTCCCCTAAAAAACTTCTCTTTAAAAACTTTGGCCCACAAAGAAGAACCATTCAAAATACCCCATACTTGTTTGATTCTAAATGTTGTTTGAACTTCACCAAAACTTCTAATCCCCAAACCACCTTCTATTCTGGGTTTGGAAATATCATTCAATGAAACCCAATGCCTTCTCTTAGAGTCAATCTGACTGGACCAAATAAAATCAGCAATTAGAGAATTCAGCTTACTCAGTATACCTTTTGGAATATTCAGACAAGCCAACAAATGAATAGGAATTGAACTAAGTACTGATTGTACCAATACAATCCTCCCCATACCAGATAACAATCTAGCATACCAACCCTCAATTCTTTTCCTGAAGCTTTTCACCACCTCTTCAAAATAGCATTTCTTGATCCTTCCTCTAATAATAGGACATCCCAGATAAGTGAAAGGACAGTTCTTAAAGGGAATCCCCACCACAGAAGCCAGCCTATTCCTTCTGGACAAAGAAATTAGCTTAGAACAATGCACATCACTTTTCAACTTGTTAACCTTCTAACCAGAACTTGATTCATACAGATCAATAAATTACAGTACATTCAATACAGAATTTTTGTTGCCCCTTAGAAATATCAGGGTATCATCAGCAAACAACAAGTGACTAACAACTGTTGTTCCTCTCCCAATATGAAAATGTTTTACCAAATTCTGATTATAAATGCATCTGAGCCCTCTACTCAGCACTTCCTCAGCCAAGATGAACAAGGTGGGAGAGATAGGATCTCCCTGCCTAAGCCCCCTTGAATTAGCAAAATAACCA